CTCTCTCTCTAAAAAAATAAAATAAAATAAATATCCTGAAGAACTTGATGCCAGTAACTCAACAACTTGAATGAAATGCACAAATGTACTGAATAGCATGAGCTACAACAGCTCGTTCAGGAAGGAAGAACTACGTTTTTAATAGCCCTGTATCTATTAAGAAATTAAACCTACTTTTTTCTGCCTTTTTAAAGATTTCTTTCTTTTTTTCTTTTTACTCTAAAATGAAAAAGCAAAAGTAGAAAAAAAATTTTTCAGGGGTACAGGTCTGTGATTCATCAGTTTTATGTAATACCCAGTGCTCATTATAACACATACCCTCCCCAATCTATTTTTAACTGGTGCATGTTAAAGAAATTGAATGAAAATCTTTTCCACAAGGAAAACTGACTGGTTAATTCTACCAAGCATTTAAGCAAACGAGACAGAATATCTAAACAAACTCTTCTAGAAAACTGAATAGGAAGAAATACTTACCAACTCATTTTCTGAGACTAGAGACTAGCACTAGTCGAATACTGAAACCAGGCAAAGACAGTAATAAAACTAAAGACAAATATACCCCAGAACCAGAGATGTAAAAATCCTTAACAAAACTTTAACAAGTTGAATGTGACAATACAGACAAAACATCATAGATCAGGACCAAGTGGGGTTCATCCCAGAAGTACAGTGCTAGAAGAAGTTCAAGGAGGCCAGTTTGGCTAGACTGAATGAGCTGGGAAGTAGGAAGAAATCTGAGCAGTAAAAGAAAGGAGATCATGAGGCCTGTGCACATGTTCAAATCATCTGACTTAATTGGTTCCGATGACCCTGAACTAAACAGGCAATACTAATGGTAAGCATTTGAGACCCTTTTATAGGCAGACTGGGAGGATTTGGGGGATAGAGTAAGTATCACAGAGAACTGTCAACCTCATCCTAAGGATTTGGATTTTCAATCCCAGGGAGAGGTACTTGGGAAGCCACTGCAGGGTCTAGAGCAGAAGAGTGATATACCATCTTTTAACAGTATATTTTGTTGAGAACATATTTTAACAGACCAAGGTTAGAATCAGGGAGACCAAATAATAATATGTAAAGCATTTTAAAAATAATAAACAAGTCAATATTAATAATTAGTACTATATTAACAGTCATTTTCTTAGTACACCATTTCTGACAAGCTGCTCTACATAGACTTCTTATAAATAACAGTCTTTTGATAAAATACATTTTGGTGGGGAGGGCTCTCAGAGGAATGTGGGGAACCCACATTCCTTGGATATGTATTGAAGTACAATGGAGCTAACCATTAATTGTCAGAAACAAAATGTCATGCTGAATAATAGAACCCTAGAATAACACAGCATTCCTTAATGTGATGTGGTTGGTCCTGACTTGATTGTGATGCCATAAATATACAATATTTAACATTATTCCAAAGAGCTGGTCTCCTTTAAACCACCCACCTATAGTCATATTTCCCCTGATTGATGGTCAGAGACCCCTTGTAGGGTTTAATTCCTACTTGTGCCAGAATAATCCAGAAGAAGCTCTATCTCCTACACGGCACAAAATTTCCCAGGCCTAAAGACAGTGGATATGATATTTATCTACAACGGCCAGAGACTATTTAAACCTTCAGGAAGTAGAGAACCAGAAAGACTGAAAAAATAGAGCCAAGGCTACAACCAGGTAAATGGAACCAAAGATCTAGTCCAAGACATGAAGCAGCAGTGGATAACAAGCTTGTGTTGAGGAAGGGTTTGAATCAGGATTGTGTTCATGGGTAAGGTTGTGAATATGGAATACACAATAGAATTTTCTTTTAAAAAGGATCTGGAATATGTTTGAGGATGGGGTGGCCATTAGTACTAAGTGGTTTAAAAAACATATATAATCCAATACATGCCTAATTTAGTGCTCTACATCATTATGATTTAATTTGTTTTAACACTCTTAAAAGAATAATGCAATGATGAGAGTATTTGGCTCCTTTGCAGGTGGATAGGGACAAATTTTTTGGAGGCAGTAAATACCCTGTAGAGAATTATCAACCCCATCCGCATATAAAGTCAATTCTGCTGACATGTAAATGTTTTTCACAGGTAGACACTGCAGTTTCTATTTAGCACATGGGCCTTCCACCTGGGAAAGTCCAGCTTGGCAATGACATTTTGGTCCAGCTCATAAAGTTTACCTATTGGCTGCTGTGTGCTTTATAGTGATGCTTTCTAAAGCTAAGAATTATTTGGATAACAAAAGTGATGAGCCAACTAACCCACATACGTCATATTGAAATCCTCGGAGGAAATTGTGCCTACCAGACATATACACATGCACACAACCAGATTTAATATTTGAGTTTCACCAGGTTCTATTAAATGGCTCAGAATGTTTGAAACATATCAAAATTTTCCGAGAAATCCTTATTTCAGTATTTTCCTGATGGAAATGTTTGTGCAATAAAATTTTTCTTTTACTCATTTAGTAGTTTATTGAATGAGTAGTCATTCAATAAACACTACTGAAGTCTATACTCAATAGTTAACACTCAGTTTATAACGATGAAAAGCAAAGGTGCCTGCACTCAAGGACTTGGGTTTAGTGAAGGATAGAAGCATATGCAAGTAGCTACAACTCAAAGAGACAAGCTGATCAGAGAAATATAAACAAGTACTTAAAGGTTAAAGAGAAGGAAGTGACTGTCAGGGTCTTTGAAGACCAACAAAGAGTTATGTATGACCTGGATCTTAATGGATTGGAAAAATTTTCTGAAAAGGAGAAGAAGAATGACAGAAGGAACAAAGCCTGAATGACAGAAAGAACAATAACAAAACACCATAAAGTGTCTAGTTATTTACTACAGTAATCAACCTGCTTGCATTTTCTGTTTCTAAACCCTTCCTTATACTCTGCTAAGTCCTAAGCATATATTATGGCTATTTGTTGAGTCTGAAAGATTAAGAAGCTTTTCTTCTTTGACTATAGTAAAGACAACAGTTCTTCTAAAATAAATTTATATATTCTAAATAATTCCTGTCAAAATTTCAATAAACACACACATATATATAACTAAACCATGCTAAAATTAATCTGGAAAGTAGCAGAAATGAGATAATAAAGAAAACTAGTACAAAAATTAAGACCGGACTAATCCTAGCAGATATAACCTATTAAAATATGTTCTGTAGCCTCTGAAATAAATACATATTACTGGGTTAAAAATAAACAGAATTATGCCTCAGAACTAGAACCTATTAAATATAGCACCATGGTATTCAATAAAGGAGACCCCATTAATCAATGAGCAAGTGAAGCTTTAGTCAATAGTGCTATCTGAGTCATCAATTAGCACTTTGGAAAAAAAATCTATTTAGAATCTCATTTCATTTCACACACCAAAATAAATTTTAGATAAATTAAGTAAGTAAACACAAAAAATCAAACAGAAATTAGTTGAAAAAAGTAAAATGAATACCAAATGTCTAGAGGCAAAGGGATTTTTACTAAGCTTAGAAATGATGAAAGACATAAGGGAAAAAATGAAAGATCACACTATATGAAAATATAAAACTTCAATACAGAAACTGAAAAATCATGAGACTAGGATCAAATTGTGGAAATGCTTGCTGAAAATACTAAAAACAGTACCTTACTGTATTATAAGCTTATATTACTTGACCAAAAACTCCACAGAAAAAAAGTTGGGTAGGTGGGAGATACAAATAACTGCAAAATTAAATAAATATGAAAGGGAAAATAAAAACAATTGTACTTATTATTTATAACTAATCAATAAGCATATACAACTTATATTCATCATTAGTAATAGAAACATAAAATAAAACAAGAATATTCACTCTTGGGCTGATATTTTTATAACTAATACTATTTGACACAGATGCAGAGATGGTACAGCGGAGAATCTTAGTGTTTGCTAAGGGCACTGTCATTACTTTTATCTTCTTGATTTTTGAAATGTCTTTGATAATGACATATTAGTTTTTAATAAAAAAAAGTGATAGGCGTGTATTAATTAAGAAATATAACTTCTCCAAATTGGTACTAAAACATAATCCCACATAGTGGGCCAGAGGGCAACAGGATCTCTCAGTAAAGAAGGGCGATTTCATCTATCAGCCTCTGCTGAGATAGCATGGTAGAGAAATACCAGTTGTCTATATGCTCAAAATGCTTAATAACAAAACAGGTGTTGCTATATAGCCATTATGAGTCAAAGCCAGAATTTTATTTTTTAGAGAACAAATAACTGAAACATGTATATCCAGCAGAGATGTATCCTACAGAATTCTAAGCTGTGAACAGTGTGACTGAATCACTAGGAACTTTGCCTCAAAGGGACCCACGTGTGTAAGTGCTTCAGAAAATTTTATCATCTATTTCTCTTTTAAAAAAGTTGATGCAGGCATTTGAGTTTATTTCAATACAGTTTTAAATACTTAAAAAATCACTCCATCTCTACACTCTTTGTTGGTGGGCAATGGTGGAAGTGTATGTATGGAGGGTAATTCTTGACTGTTCACTGAAATCCATGTGATAGATGAATAGAAATGATAGAAGGGAACTACATGTGCTGATGGGACAAAGGGCCAAAAGTTCAACATAGAGGTTACTGAGAGAGAAGGGTCATGAAGGGTCACAGAAAATTCCACATGCTAGTTCATTTCTTGGACTAGAAACCATTAATGAGTTTCCCCTTGTCCTTCCCCCTTGTATAAAGCATGTAAGAAATAAAATCAAGGTCCTCCTTTCAAAATTAATTCACAAAATTGTTGAACCAGCTACACTGAATAAATTTACATTTCTCTTTTTGCAAACCTATTTAGAGACTACAGTTTTGTGAAGCTATTTTGCAGAATGTATAACCATCAGGACCAGGCCACTGTAATCCTGATTTTAACCCAGGAGAAAGGAGAATGGGGATGGTTGAGGCTGGCCTCCAGGTACCTTATCTAACAATTTAAATCAGTCCCATAAAATTTAAATAAACCTACCTTCCTTGGCTTCTATTCACATGATAGGATACAAAGAGAACTTGCCAGGCTGTGGGTCCTCATGCATCAGCTGCTAGATTTTTTTCTCCACTGACCATGGGAATTTCCAGTTCAGGAGTTTGGTGGTCATGCTGTCCTAGATGGAGTGAGAGCCAAAGGACTTGGTCACACAGTGCTTATATGTTGCTTTCCTTTCTTCCCTCATAGGGTGGAAAGGTGTTTTAGGAATGGTGATTAATAAAGAATAAGAGTGAAACTAATTTGAACTTGGTTGTAGGAAGGTTTTTCATTTACTCTATCCTTTCTGTATCTAAGAGTTAAAGAAACCACAGAAAATTTCCAACAGAGCTGAAGAATTACAACACTTAAAAATCAGAATACAAGTTTATTAAGTGACTTGATATAAAATAAATGCAAATAAATACTTTTTCTTTATAGTGGCATTAACCAGTCAGAAAATAAATAGCCTATTCCCCCCCAAACAGGGTTGGAGTATAGGAAACCTGTAAGATTAAGTGAAGGGACAGTGAACAGAAAAGAAATTTTTATAAAGTTAGCAATTCTGCCCAAATTCATTTTAATGCAATTTCAATCATACTAAAATATTTTTAGTTTTTTTTTAAACCAGATAAAAGCTGTAAGTAAATATAAAAATAAATGTAGAAGATTGCCTGTAAATTTTCATAAAGAAGAAAACTGAGCCAGGCAGGGTGGAACACTTGCTACATAGCTATTAAGACTATCTACAAAGGTACTGTGATCAGATTACTGTGATACCACTGAAGCAAGACACAATCAGTAGCATCCAGAAAAAGATCCAGTTATCTATGGTAACTTGATATACAGCAAAATTAACATTTTCAATTTAGTAGGAAAAATTCAGTCTATTTAACAAATAGTGTTAGGACGGCTGACTCAGCTAAAAGAAAAGTTTAATTTTTTAATCTCTACCTCACAACTAAATACTAACTACAAAAATTTTCTATGTATTATATAGAACATACATCTATCTCCTTCTTGCTTAATGGCCTCTGAATGTAATGATTTAATTCTTTTAATGGACATAGGAATTTGTTCCAATTTTTTAAGGACACATTCATAGAAGCATAATTACTGGGCAAAAACATAGAAGCATTTAAAATATTACTAGTTATTGCTAAATTTCTGGCACAAAACTTTAGAAGAAATTCCTCACGTGGTTTCTTTTTTAAGGGATTATTTTCAGTTGATTTATGGAGGTCTTAATTTGCCCACTAATCTACTTGATCAAGATAACAAGTATTAATTAAGCACTTTCTTTGCTTCTGACAGTTAACTGCAGGCGAGGCAGAAGGCATGGGATGGTCAAGGGTTACAACAGAAAGCCTTACCCCTTAAGAGTATCTTAAAACAGTACAGAAAACTTTTTACTTAAGTAAAACTTTTTACTTAAGTAAAAAGTACTTAAGTTTGATACTTAAGTACCAAATTGGGTGATAGTGTCTACTATACATGTTTTAAAAGAATCAGAAACAAAATAAAGGTTTTCAAAAAGATAAACTTTGGGGATGCCTGGGTGGCTCAGTTGGTTAAGCAGCTGCCTTTGGCTCAGGTCATGATCCCAGCATCCTGGGATCGAGTCCCACATCAGGCTCCTTGCTTGGCGGGGAGCCTGCTTCTCCCTCTGCCTCTGCCTGCCATTCTGTCTGCCTGTGCTCGCTCGCTCTCCCTCTCTCTCTGACAAATAAATAAAATCTTAAAAAAAAAAAAAAAGATAAACTTTGGCTATTTTCTGCAAATATGTTCCCCCAAATGGTTATGACTCCAAATTCACTTGGATCTTAGTATTTATGGTGATTATTATTGATACTGTCCAATATAACTGACAAAAACAAGTTCTTCTATACCTTAAGAAATTCAAACACATAAATGATCCTGAAACAAAGATCCTGAGACAAAGACGAAGGGGAAGGAATGAAGGAAGGAAAGTACCCAACACTTATTATGTACTATGTGCCAACTGCTTGGATTACAGTCTCTTCTATTTTTTTCACCGCTGGCATGACTTGGAAGGAGGATTCTTTAGCAGCAATTATCTAAAATGAGAGACAGTTCTCTAGGGACAAGGGAAGACAAAAGAAAAGCTGGCATCTATAAATCCCCTGTCTGCCTAGCACTGTGCTAGAATCTTGAAACACACTGCTTCTGTTTCACACACACTACTCAAAGGGGGGGCTCAAAGATAACTTCTCACTGGATATCAGATGAGTAAGTAATAAGGACAGAATGGGGTCCTCAGGGACACAGTCTTGAGGGGTTTCCCTTTCAGGAGTAGAGGTTAAAAGTACCTGAGAATGGCCCTTGACTGATAGAAGTCACCTTACATACAACTGGGTGGTTACCCCAGCACCAACACAACCACCACCTACCCCTATCACTCCCACCAACCAATGGCTGACTGTATGGCCAGTTGGCCATACATACATACATACATACAGTATAGCCAGTTGGCCACAAAAGCCCAGGTGGCCCCATATCATGGTAATTCTGCTGTACCATTTATGGTCAGAGTCCCCCACTGTTCAGGCCAACAATAGAATTTACTTGTGACTATATCCTTGATGAGCAACTTGTCTATACCAATTTTACCTCCCTGGAGGTGTTACAGGTTTTTCCTGAAGAGCACTCTCTCAATGAGTCACTTGGCCTGGATCTGTCTCTGGCTCAGCTTCTAGAGAACCCAACCTAAGACAAAGGGCATTTGGGATCCTCATCCTATTTCTATTTATCACATCTAACAATTTCTACTCCTCACAATGACTCTACGAAGTAGGTGCTATTATTCCAATTTTATGAACTGGTACATTAAGATTGGCCCATTGAGCCGGAGTCAGCAAAGAGGGAGATAGATTCCAGACAGAAGAGACATGAACTGCTTTAATAGTTCCCCAAAAGAAACAGCCAAAGGCTGCCTTTAATAGGGAGGTATCTGGCTATCCCACTCTGGGACCATTCATTCTAACTTTCTACAAACTTACCCCTTTAAAGGGAAGTTGTACACAAGGACACAAGATGTAGATTTTTCAATGTTTTAAAGTCAACGTTTTAACACATTAATCTTACTCATTTCTCAACTCTGGCAGGCAGAACACACTAAATATTTTTCAAATTAATGCATGTCTGACAACTCCAGGATCTAGATAGGAATGTAATTTCTCCTCCCTTGGTGTATCCACTATTTGTATCTTTCATACATTTAGAACTCCTGTCCCTGTCAAGTGAGTTTGTTGACCTGAATGCTGAAAACATTTCTACCTCCTCTAGCAACTGGGTGGGTGAGAACCAACAACAGAATCATAAATGGACAAGCCTGGAAATCTGATGCTGAACTCTGAATGGTTTAGAACTTTCTGGACCAATCTTCTTGCCTTCATGTGATTTACAAGAACAGCAAATATGTACAGAATGGGAAACTGGGTCACACTTGACTGGGTGGAAGAAAACTTAACTGAGCACAAAGTAGAATTTTCAAACATTAGGCTATGGTGTGTTAGCTGACATTAATGAAAGGGTCAACCTATTAATGTTGATAACTAAATCTGAGCTTCTGTCTATAAAGCTACCCAGTTAGGTCCTACTGATTAAACTTCAAAGTCTCCCCTTGAAGGGCTGCCTCTAAATCAGACTAGGTGTCTAAGAAGCCCTATGGTCTGGAAAGGTGAAGTGTAATATCTGGGAAGTACATTTATGAGTAGAGTATAAGTGTCTTTAGAGATAACCCAACATTCTACCCCAGCCCACCCTCATAGCTGCCTCTCACAGAATCATATTTTCCACTGATGTGCTACAGATTCATAAATGTAGTGAAACACTAAAAACAATTGTTTCACTAAGGCTTTCAAAAATTCTTCACAACGCTACATTTGTAAGACCTTGTCTTCGGCTGCCTCAACATTTCAAATTTTCTGAGACTTTCAGTACAGGCCATGTGTATTTTCCCCCCTGCCAAGTTATTTCCTTACCAATGTCACCATGAAGCAGGGATGTCAGAGGTGGGCATTATTATATTGTCACAAAGATAATCAGTTTTTTCTTCCAATGCTGGAAGGCAAAGCCAGGAATGAGCCATGGCATCAGTCTAGGAGATAGGAGATTTATAACTACAGGTTTTTAAAGCTCCTAGTGGAAAATGAAGAGGGAGATATGGCACAGCAGGTGAATGTATTTAGGATAGATTACACAAAAGAACAAGAATAAATTACTATTTCTGTCAGAATAGATGAATCTAGAAATAGTTCAATCCTCAGGGCCAATGTGATCATAACAATTTGGTTTTCCCCACAGGTCTCAAGCTTATCTATGTTTTTCCCAAAAAGGAAAGCTGAACAAAACAAAACTTGGGAGGAATCCAAATGACCCATATTAAAAGAATAATATGGGAAATAATGTTAATACTACTTAATTCAAATTTCCCTACTAAACCCATAGGCCAGTGTCGCTTGCATCAGACCTGCTTGCATCAGAATCACCCTGGAGTCTTTTTAAAACAACAAAAATAGGCAGACAAAAATTTACTTAATCATAAGGGAATCATAAGGGAATCCATCTAAAATCATCTCCCCCCATGATCTAGATTCACACTGAAGCTGAATATGGTGATTTTGTGCTCAGCAACAAGAACTGAAAAAAAACAAGAGCTTGAGAAATGGTATTTTCATCCAAGAACCCTTACTGAGTATCTTGTTGCCTTTCTTGACTCTCTGTACTTTTTACGAATCAGCTGACAAAACAGCAGATACACAGCTCTGATTCCAGAAAAGACCGGCCTAGAACATAAACTTGGTAAACCACCTCCTCATTGGCATCCCCTCCTCCCATTCCCACCCACCAGACAAGGGAGCTTAAATCTCAGTAAAGTCTCTTCAGGCTCAACATGAAGTGGAAAACAGAAGGTGCAAAGCTGGAGGTCTCGGCTGGGAGGTGCCACGGTTCTATAGGTGAGGTCATAACAGTAACTGTGTGAATTTCAACATTTCTCTTTTTTTCATGTGACACAGAAAACTAGAATATTGAGAGATAAAGAAAGGAACTGAAACGTTGAAGATAAGTATAAATATTGATTATGGGTTTGGGGTTGGCAACTTCTTGATCCCTAGC